GTTATGCCACTTGGCCCTATGCAGGTGAAGGCAGTACTGCACACCAAGGAAAACAGTAGGGATAATTTTTGCCACAGGCACGAAGCAAAGCACTTCATGTGTACACCCCCTCCACTGTCTTTGCACCTTAAAGGAGACAGTTGGGGGAGGGGGCAATAAAAACACAGCTCATCTGTATGCTTTTACCACTCCCCCAACCAAAAGTGTAAAGAAGCCCTTAGTTGTTGCCATAGCAAGTTTTCTTTTTAAAATATTTTATCTCTACTCTTATTCCCATGAGTTGACTATGGATACCAAAACAAAGGAGGTTGAATCTCCCCAGCAGTGCCAGTAAAATAGAAAATGTTTTGGCTTTAGTTTCAATTGTTTAAATTTGTCTTGCCCTGTGTCTCATGTAATCGTAATCCTAGTAGTACATACTACCTGACCACCTCACTAACACAGCTAGCACTATAAATTGACAGGGGGGGCATTTTAGTTTTAACACATGAGGTACTTAGAACGTTTGTAAATGGGCTACTGGCAGGGCTTTTATTCTTAGAGAAGAGGTGCAGGAATTCATCACCCTCCCCTAGGTCATGCTTGTCTCCACCCCTAGAGCAGCCCCCCTTAGAGAACAGGGAACCAAGTACAATTTGGGGGTAGCATGAGCCCTTAGAGTTTGTTTTTGCTTTTACTTCAATAACAGACATACTACAGCTAGAATTGATTCCTCCAGCAACAGAAGACAGCCCCCCGTATCCAGCAACAATAGACAGCCCCCCATATATCAAGCAAAGAGACCCCCCCATATGTCTAGCAAAGTGATAGCCCTCATATATCCTGCAGAGAGACATCCACATATATTCAGCAAAGGGATGGCCCAGTCCAGCAAAGAGACATCCCCATATATTCAGCAGAGATTGACCAATCCAGCAAACAGACATCCTCATATATTCAGCAAGGAGACATCTCCATCCAGCAAAGAGACAGCCCAATCCAACAAAACATACATCCTCATATATTCAGCAAAGCGATATCCCCAATCCAGCAAAGATACATCCCTATATTCAGCAAAGAGACATCCTCATATATTTAGCAAAGCGATATCCCCAATCCAGAAAAGAGACATCCCTATATTCAGCAAAGAGATATCCCATGTCCTGTAAAGAGACATCCTCATATATTAAGGAACAGCCCAATCCAGCAAAGAGACAGCTCAATTGAACAAAGAGACATCCGCATATATTCAGAAAAGAGACATCCCCAATCCACCAAAGAGACAGCCCTATCTAGCAAAGAGACATCCCAAAATATTCAGCAAAAAGACATCTCCATATATCCATCAAAGGGACATCCCCAATCCAGCAATGTGACATCCCTATCCAGCAAAGAGACATCCCCATCCAGCAAAGAGACATCCCCATATATTCAACAAAGAAACAACACCATCCAGCAAAGAGACATCCCCAATCCAGCAAAGAGACAACCCATGTACGTACAGGGTGAAGGGTTTAGGAGTGTGCTATGTATAGGGTGCAAGCCTTCCATCTGAGTGTACAAGGGTTCTCACTCTGTCCACATTAGCATCCATCCTTTGCATTTTTGGCTGCTCACTTCTTGTGTCATCATGGCAGTGGCATTGCTATGGGGGTGCAGACTGGACCCGGGTGACACCCTCCAGAGGGTCTTACAGTGGAGGGCTGCTCACCAGGCTGCAGATCACTTGCCCAGTCACCTCTGCCACATCAGGTGTGACCTCTCTGAGCTTCTCAGGGAGGAAAGCAGAGGAACTTATCTTCTCTGGGTATATCCAGGAGCCAAGGGAATTGTGAGAAATGTAGTTAAAAGGGCCTGCTGTCACAGTGAGGGGTCAGGCTCATAAACCAGTAGCTATAGCAGTAGAGAGGCCACTAGGAAGAGTACACAGGCAGATCATCCTGGTGGATGACGTGGGCTCACCCAAGGCGTGTTGTCTAAGCTCTAACTGGTATTCATCAGAGCTAATGGTGGAGATGGGTTTTGCTGCATGTTAGTACCAAGTTGTGGTCCTCAGGATAGATACGCCAGGAGGTGAGTAAGCCAGGGTGCAGTAGCAGATATGGCAGTAGGGATCATACAGAAGCGTAGTCAGTAAAAAAGCCAAAGTTTGGTAATGAACGGTTGCAGGTTAGGATCAAGGAAAAGCATATTCAAGGAACAAGCCAAAGGTCGGTAATAAGTGGTAGCAAAAATTCGGACGGCAGCACGGAGACAAAAGTGAGATAATGGCTGGAGAGAGCACAATAATCTGGCAAACAGGAAGCACAAAAGCATGGCTTTATTAGGAGGTTCATGGGAGCAGCAAGGGGTTCATGATACAAGACACAAGGCAAGGTTGTCTTAAGAGATCAGGCAGGGAACTGTCCATCTCAGTAGCTCAGCATGAAGGGACCAGTCACAGAAGAGGTCGTAGGTTCAGAACTGGGCCCTGACACCTGCATGGTGAATAAATGGGCAATCCACTACTGTAGTAATAGATATTGTTAGTTGGATTAGGGTGACCAGATGTCCCCGATATCATTGGAAAATCCCTGATGTTAGGGAACAGTCCCCAGGAAAAAAGTGTCATCAACAGCTTTAATAATGGTGTCCCCAGCTCAGACAGTTGCAGAGTATTCCATTTTAGCAACATTTCTGTGATTGGCTTGGAGTAAGAGAAGGAAGGGGAGGAAGATGTTTGCTCCCAGATGTGTCTAGGGTTACTGATGTCACATGCCGATATCACATGGTCTACCTGGTCCCTCCCCTTGCGATTTGTTTGGACATTGTTTTGGAAGGTAAGAATATGGATTATTTTGTACCACTGGAGATGAGGGGAGGAAACTCACTAGAAAATAGTGTACTGCATGAACTCGCCAGCAACACCATGCCAAGGTCTGTTGAATACATAGGGCAGGTGAGGGATTGTACTGGCATGAGAGGGAAAGTTTTGTTGGCAGCACTCTGTGCTTTACTTACTTTTGCCCTCTACATTCTGTGTTAGGCACTCTTGTTCCACAACAAAGCAGGCTTAGGTGTTATTAAACCATACCTCCCCCTCCCCACTTTTAGCAAAAAGTTACCCCACTCAACATCTAGTGTAGCTTGCTTTGCATGCCACTATTTTCACATCCCCTTCCTCACCCCAAATAAAAGTGCAGAGGACTGAGGGCTCCTTCCTACTGCCATGTGACAATGCATGGTGGAAATTTGCCAAGCACCATTACATTTATTTGATAAGATGGGAAGTGAGTTACTTGATTTTCCCTAACCAGAAGTACTGGGAGACAGAAAAGACACAGATTGTCCTTGGACCTGCAATATCTTGTTTTCTTTGGTTTCTGCTATCAGTAGGAACCATAGATCTAGCATATTCTATTGAAACACATATGCATCTTTCTCACAAGCAGGGAATATAAAACAAGTAGTGTAGTTTGATGTACATTTTGTTATTTTTTTCCCCAAAGTCTTACATTACTTACTTACCCAGAAAAGCAAAGGTTACTATATGTGTAGTGCTACCCTTTTGAAGGCCACTGTGTTTCCGTATTCCTCTAAGCTTTGCACAGCCAGGCAACATGCATTTTCCACACTTGCATCCACAGTCAGTTATCAGTCCATGAGCTTGGTTTTTGTTATATTATTAGGGGATGTAACTTGGATAGGGTAATAGGGATTATTATATGCCAAATTTTACTGAATCAATGCTTCCTATTTACAAAAACAGTTCCAAACTGCTCTTTTCTTTGAAGGCCATCAGTCTTTGCATATCAGTAGCAACAGCCCCTTATGGGCTAGGGACTCAAATCCCCTCTGAAAATCAGCTTAGCTTCTTGAAAACTACTGCAGAGATGTCTCCTCTTCCCTGAAGAACTGCTCTCAGCTCCACAGCCTCCAGACACTACCAGCCCTCCTGGCTGCTCTGAAGATCTCCCGGGACAAGGATAAAGGATTATGCACAGAGCAGTCTTTTAAAAGCTTGCTGCATGTGGCAGTTTCTCCCCTTGTAGATCCCTGGGTGTGCTGATGTACTCTGTCCTCCTTGCTCCTACTGTTCCAAGGCCTTGATCCTGTTCATGCCATACTGCTGAATGAGCCCTCCTGAGCCAGCCCAAGCCCAGCCTGCAGGCCAGCCCCTCTAGACCTAGGGTATCCCTCCCAGGTCACTGACAGTCTCCTCAGCACTCCATCTTTTACCCGACTCCCTTGCCAGCCTGACTATCCCATATTTATGGTCTGGTCTTACCACTATACCAGGGCCTCCAAACCTGGGATTAGTTAGACTCCCAAAAACATGCAGATTATGTCTCCATCTCTTCCACCCACTGGCTTCTGGAAGGTTCCATGGTCCTTCAGAACCAGGTGGAGGTGATAGAGTCCCAACCTGTTAAGCCATCCAGCTTGACCTGCAGTAACCCAACCTCAATCACAGACTCACACAGTTACCATGAGTCATACACAATAGATTTGCCTACACTATTCTAGTAGCAGACTAGAGAGTGCTATATATGGTCTAAACCAGGGCTTAAAATTTTGAGTCTAGACCTACTAGCTAGGCACAAACCTTACTCTCCACCAGTTACCCCACCCAACCTTGCCCAGGTCCGCCTCCAACCCCAGTCCTGGCCCATCCCCCAAAGAGGGGGTGAGAAAGAGAGAGGGGGTGAGAAAGAGAGAGGGGGGAGTCATAGAGAGGGGGAGTGAGAGACCCCTAGCCTGTCCCTGTCTACAGTTCCTCCTGTGCCTCCTTGTCCCAGTACCCATCTGCTGTGTGTGAAACGCAGGCCTAAGTATGGTGTAAACAATATAATTTATTAGAGGCTATACAAAAATATAAACGCACAATATAAACAAAACCAAACCTCCAACTGATAACGGAAAGTACAAGCACACAGACAAGAGTAGTCAGGGCTGGTGAGGTGGAGTGGTCAGGCAGGCCGGGTCAGGAACCATCGGGCAGACAAGGTACAAAGGAGCAGGCAGAGCGTAGACAGACGGGCCGGGTCAGGAACAATCAGTCAGACAAGGTACAGGAGGAGCAGGCAGGAGAGTGGTCAGGAATAGCTGAGGTCGGTGCAGGCAGAGTTCTATCAATGTCAGGAGTCAGGCAGAGGGATCAGGAAGGCAGGCAGATGACAGGATCAGGTTCAAGCACATGGGAACAATACACCAAGGCACTGATTGCAGGCCTGGTCCTGCTTAAATACACCTCCTGCAATCAGCCTCAGGTGATGGCTTGACTGCAGGAGTGAGATTCTGAGTGCTGAGAGCACCCGCTGGCCAGCACTGGTACTGCAGCCCACAAGGCAGGTGAGTCCCACCACCAGTGGCGAGTCCATTCCTGACAGTGATGTTCCATGCCAGCAGGATGTGCAGGATAGCCAGCAATGGGCAGGGTCGGGTCTTGCTCTTGGTGAGGACAGGAGGTGCTCTACTCCTTCCAGCAAATCTATGTGATGTTAGATGGAGCGGTCCCTGGCTGCCTGCACTTCCAGTCTGTCCCCATTCTCTGGTATCCCGGTAAGTCTGTCTTCCGTCCCGGGAGCAGAGAGGAGGTAGTGTGAGAGGGTGCGCATGCGCCCAACATCACCATAGCAACATCTGACGCCGGAGTGGCCATCGGATACCGGCAGGTAGACGAGCCACAGGACACAAGTTCTGGAGGAGACGGGAGAACCTCATGCAGTACAGTTGATAGGTAAAAGAAAAGGGAGTGATAGAAGGTGCAGGAGTGGTCAGTAATGGGCAAGGAGTAGCCAACAATAACACTCGCCCCCATGTTATTAACACTCACCAAATGCAAGCAGGCGAGTGGAAATTTTAAGCCCTGGTCTGAACCATTCCAATAATATAGAGTTGCCCTTCTTTGCAGCTTTAACAGTCTCCACTACTCTAGTAAAGCTTTTATTTTTCTCTTTTGGAATTTGTGCCCATTTAGCCAAAACAATATTTGTGAGGCCAGGAACTGTTGGATGAGAAGACCTGGCTCACAATTGTTATTTCATTTTGAATGAAATTCCATTTCGTATGAAAGGTTGAATGTTTGAAGCCAGGGCTTTGTGAGGGCCATTCGAGTTCTCCCACACCAAAACTGGTCAAACTATGTCTGTATGGAGCTGGCTTTGTGCACAGTCATGCTGAAACAGACAGGGACCTTCCCAAAACTCTTTTGCAAGGCTGGAAGCATATAGTCGTCTAAGATATCTTTAAATGCTGTATCATAAACAGTGTCCTTCGCTGGAAACAAAAGAACCTCAGTAATTTATACTGTATGGCCAAGAGTCCACATATTTTTGGACATACAGTGTAAATACACTGCTTTAAAAAATTAAAGGAACACTTTGAAAACACATCAGATCTCAATGGGAAAAAATCTCATGCTGGATATCTATAGTGATATGGACTGGGTAATGTGTTAGGAACATAAGGATGCCCTATCGTTTGACGGAAATGAAAATTATCAACCTACAGAGGACTGAAATCAAAGATACCCCGAAAATCAAAGTGAAAAAATTATGTAACAGGCTAGTCCGTTTTGCTGAAATTTCATTGCAGCAACTCAAAATGGAACTCAGCAGTTTGTATGGCCCCCACGTGCTTGTATGCATGCCTGACAATGTCGGGGAATGCTCCTAATGAGACGACGGATGGTGTCCTGGAGTATTTCCTCCCAGATCTGGACCAGGGCATCACCGAGCTCCTGGATAGTGTGAGGTGCAACCTGGCGGTGTTGGATGGATCTAAACATGATATCCCAGAGGTGTTCTATTTGATTTCGGTCAGGCGAGTGTGGGGGCCATTCAGTGGAATGAATTCCTTCATCCTCCAGGAACTGCCTGCATACTCTCACCACATGAGGCCGGGCATTGTCGTGCACCAGGAGGATCCCAGGACCCACTGCACCAGTGTAGGATGTGACAATGGGTCAAAAGATTTAATCCCAATACCTAATGGCAGTCAGGGTGCCATTGTGTAGCCTGTAGAGGTCTGTGCGTCCCTCCATGGGTATACCTCCTCAGACCATCAGTGACCCACCACTAAAACAGTCATGCTGAAGGATATTACAGGCAGCATAACATTCACGTCTTTCACATCTGTCACATGTGCTCAGGGTGAACCTGCTCTCATCTGTGAAAAGCACAGGGTGCCAATGGCGGATCTGCCAATTCTAGTGTTCAATGGCAAATGCCAATTAAGCTCTGTGATGTCGGGCAGTGAGTACATGGCCCACTAGAGGACATCGGGCCCTCAGGCCACCCTCATGAAGTCTGTTTCTGATTGTTTGGTCAGAGACATTCACACCAGTGGCCCGCTGGAGGTCATTTTGTAGGGCTCTGGAAGCACCATGTATACAGAGAAGCAGTGTGGACAACATAACAAAAAAGATACACCCAAAATCACAGCCTGAGTTGTGAACTCATTGTTGAATCCTCAACTCGTGTCTTTGGATGTATCTATTTGCTTATATACCGAACCTGAGTTTTTAGTCCTTGAGTCAGCTCATAGATGGTTGAGTTCAATATACTGTAAAAGCAAGTATGGAGCAATATTTTTATTATTATAATTATAATGATTTTGAAACATAAATCAGGTAAAAATTCAACATTTACAAGCATATGGGCCATTGAATTTAAAAGCCATATACTGTGAATGATCTGCAACACATCACAAACTCTTCAATTTCGGGCCAAAGTCAAGGCTCTGCCACGGAATGTTGCACAGGGGAGTGGATTGTAAAAAGCACTGTCTCTTCTACACAGGAATGCTTTGTGAGAGTTGGACATGTTCATCGTGAAAGAGCCAGCAGAGCTGTAATGTTCTTCTCACTGTAGATCGCTATAAATCATAAGATACTATGCACGTTGTCCACTCTCACAAGATCGTAAATTGTTGTTTAGCCATTGGATGCACTGCAATGCTTTGGTACCTCAAATCCCTTTATTTACAGGTTTTTTTTTTAAAAAGCAGCTCCACCCAGAACTAATGTTTTAGTTTTGGGTGGAAAACAGTTGAGTGCAGGGGCGGACTGACCATTTGGAAACTCGGACACTGCCCGAGGGCCCAGGGTCAGTAGGGGGCTCCATGAGATGCCCCTGGTACCTTTTTCATAGGCTTTTTTGAGTTTGGGCAAGGACACAGGGGCCCCACGATCCCCTATTGCCCGGGGGCCCCATGAGTTGTCAGTCTGCCCCTGGTTGAGTGAATTGCTTTCTATAATCTTACCTCTCTTGGACAATCCAAGATTAATCAACTGTGGTTTCCCTTCAGTATTTTCCCTCAGCACCTCATCCATGACTTAAAATGGTTCTAAAGGTTATTTTTTTTCTTTAAAATAACAAACATGTCATACTTACCTGCTCTGTGTAATGGTTTTACACAGAGCAACCCCGATCCTCCTCTTCTTGGGTCCCCCACCAGTGCTTGTGGCCCCTCCACCTTGCTTAGTGCAGCTTGCTCTGGGGGCACTCGTGAGTGCTCGCTCTTGAGCTGCCTCTGTGTGTCTATGGGACTCACAGGGTGTGGCTTAGTTCCGCCCCCATTCCCTCCTCATTGGCTTTAATTGACAGCAGTGGGAGCCACTCCCACTGCTGTGTCTCAGCCAGAGAGACCTGGGAGAGCTGTGGCTCCTGTGCACAGTGCTGGATCGAGATTGGGCACAGGTAACTATAAGGGAGAGGAGTGGGGGCGGGGGGAAGCTGCACACTGAAGGTTTTTTACCTTCATGCATAGAATGCATGAAGGTAAAAAACCTTCACCCTTTACAGCTATTTTAAAGTGTTAATCTCATGCAGCTGAACTCCCCAGTTACAGCTTTATATTACAATATGGTGAAACTGCTTTCTATGGGCAATATTAAAAATGTCATATGTGATGCAGTCTGACACTGGCATTAACATTTTATTACACCGAGTCCCCCCTAAAACATAGGAGGTCAGGGGACATGTGGTCACATGACCCCTCATCACTCAATTCTCTCAGCAGAGAGCGGTGACTGTCAGTTACTGCTCCTTAATTGTTTTAATTATTTTTTAAAATTTTTAAAAATAATTTTTTTACAATTTTTTTAAAATTTTTTTTTTTACAATTTTTTAAAATTGTTTTTTACAATTTTTTAAAATTATTTTTTTCCAATTTGTTATTATTTTACATTTTTAAAATCGGATGTTTTTCCCACTTTCTGTAATAGAGTGATAGTGCTGTTCATTCTGTACTGAATTTGTACAGCAGTGTTGCCACCCTGTTACCATCTGCACAGGGTAGTCTAAGGTGGACATTTATTTAAATTTTTTTAAAAAAAAACTTTATGTTAGCAACAAACAATTTGAAACTTATCTCTCATATGACCACTGATGACTCAATTCTCTGAGCAGAGAGCGGTGACTGTCAGTTACTGCTCTCCACCCTGCCTAATGCTCCCTGGAATTCCAGGCTGGAGAGGGGCTGAGAGCAGCTGGCTCAGGTACTCAGCGGTGTGCTGAGAGCCTGAGCCAGCTCCAATCAGGCATCTGGATGGATCATGACTTTATTGTCAGGATCCTTCCAGAGCCTAGACCAGCTCTGTGATGTTGGCCGACAGCAAGGCGTAGCCTGTTGTTAGCTGATTCTGGTTCTGTTCAAATGCTGCATTGCTTAAAAGAGAAGTATGACTAAAAAAGCTTTGGCCATACTTCTCATTTAAGATATGCAGCCAGGGATGCTGTTAGAAGTCACAGGGCCCAGTACAGCTTACCTGACAGCCCCCCCCCCCCCCAACATATCAAGTGATATTTATTGCTAAAAATACACTAAAATCATTATTAGTGGACACAAACATAACATAACTTACAACATTCCTGCTAAATGTAGAATATAAAACTGTATTGAGTTAATAAAAAAGTTCTGTGTTTAAATGAGATCATCTTCAGGCTCATTCACATGGGTGCTGTGGACTGCACAGTGTGAATCTCTGTTTTGTTTTTTTTTTTTTTAAATATGGCTATTGCTGTGTGCAAGCGGCTTATGTTACACTATGGGGATGGAGTGGCTGTACGAACACAGCTGCAGGTCCTAATTTGACAGGCATTTAGATGCAGGTGTATGGCCCCCGACACAAACAATGTGCATTTGAGGGCCAGTCACCTGCACCAAATTGCATCAAATTAGGACCTGCGGCTGTGTTCATACAGCCGCTGAATCCTCATAAAGTAACAGATGGCTCCAGCCGCACAAAAAAAAACTGCTTATTTATACTATATGAGCCAGAGAACCTATGTGAACGAGTACTTCATTTTTTATTTTCCAAAAACGTTTTATTGAAGTATGAAAGGTAAAACAATTGATAGACAGATACGGATCGCAGTCTGTGCACATTCTCTTATATGTTCTCCCGTAACGCAGACGGGATCAGGACAATAGATTAATTTGTAGAACATCAGGAGACGGAGTC